ATTTTCACTGTTTGTGAAGAATTCTTATTTTACAAATAAATATGTAATGTGGTTGTAAAGCCTAAACATATTTTTACCTTAATGCATTCGCTGCATTAAAGTAAAAAATGTTTCAGTATGGGTATTGCCCCCTCACCCCCATTATACACTGCTCAAAAAATTAAAGGAACACTTTTTAATCAGAGTATAGCATCAAATCAACTAAACTCCTGGGATATTGATCTGGTCAGTTAAGTAGCAAAGGGGGTTGTTAATCAGTTTCAGCTGCATTGGTGTTAATTAAATTAACAACAGGTGCAGTAGATGGGAAACAATGAGATGGGGTCAAAATAGGAATGCTTTTACAGGTGGAGGCCACTGACATTTTATTCCCTACTCATCTTTTCTGACTGTTCTTCACTAGTTTTGTACTTGGCTAGGGTCAGTGTGACTACTGGTAGCATGAGGCGATAACTGGACCCTGCAGAGGTTGCACAGGCCATTCATCTCCTCCAGGATGGCACATCAATATGTACCATTGCCAGAAGGTGTATGTGTCTCTCAGCACAGTCTCAAGAGAATGGAGGAGATTCCAGGAGACAGGCATTTACTCTAGGAGAGCTTGGCAGGGCTGTAGAAGGTCCTTAACCCATCAGCAGGACCTGCTCTTTTGCGCAAGGAGGAAAGGGATGGCACTGTCAGAGCCCTACAAAATTACCTCCAGCAGGCCACTGGTGTTAATGTCTCTGAGCAAACAATCATAAACAGACTTCATGAGGGTGGCCTGAGGGCCGACGTCCTCTAGTGGGCTCTGTGCTCACTGCCCAGAACCATAGAACTCAATTGGCATTTGCCATTGAACACCAGAATTGGCAGGTCTGCCACTGGCACCCTGTGCTTTTCACAGATGACCTGCTCTCACCCTGAGCACATGTGACAGACATAAAAAGGTCTGGAGAAGCCATGGAGAATGTTATGCTGCCTACAACATCGTTCAACATGACCATTTTTTTGGTGGGTCAGTGATGGTCTCGAGAGGCATATCAATAGAGGAATGCACAGATCTCTACAGGCTAGACAATGGCATCCTGACTGCCATTAGGTATCAGGATGAAATCCTTGGACCCATTGTCAGACCCTACACTTGTGCAGTGGGTCCCGGTTCCTCCTGGTGATGACAATGCCTGGCCTCATGTGGTGAGAGTATGCAGGCAGTCCCTGGAGGATGAAGGAATTGATACCATTGAATGACCCCCATCCTCGCCTGACCTAAATCCAATAGAACACCTCTGGGATATCATGTTTCGGTCCATCCGACATCGCCAGGTTGCACCTCAGACTGTCCAGGAGCTCAGTGATGCCCTGGTCCAGGTCTGGGAGGAAATACCCCAGGACACCATTCGTGGTCTCATTAGGAGCATGCTCTGACATTGTCAGGCATGCATACAAGCATGTGGGGGCCATATAAACTACTGAGTACCATTTTGAGTCGCTGCAATGAAATTTCAGCAAAATGAACTAGCCTGCTGCATAATTTTTTCACTTTGATTTTTGGGGTTGGAGTCCATATCAGTATAGATATCCAGCATGATATTTTTCCCCATTGAGATCTGATGTGTTTTCAAAGTGTTCCTTTATTTTTTCTGAGCAGTGTACTTATCAGAGCCTGATCTCCATGCAGCGCTGTGGCCGCCTGTAGCAGTTCTATCCTCTTCTCCCCTCTCTCACAGGTCATGCTGACAGCAGGAGGAGCCATTGATTCCTGCTGCTCTTATTCAAAACCTGTGAAGGGGGAGTTGGGGGCAGGGTCAAGCCTCGCTGTCTGTGTCTATAGATGCAGACAGTGTGGCTTGGGATTGAGCATGCAGGTGTGCCACCATAGGAAGCAGCTTCCTATGGTGGCACACTGAGAAGATGAGGAGCCAGGAACGCCGGTGGGGGGACCTGAGAAGAGAAGGATTGGGGCTGCTCTGTGCCATACCATGGCCCAGAGCAGGTAAGTATAATATGTTTGTTATATTAAAAGAAAAATGAATTTGCCTTCTAATAAGAAAGCCTAGTACTAGCTCTGTACTTATCTATTAATAGGGATGGTGAGGGGTATATTCCATCTCTGGCTTGTTCAACTGTATATACAATGTAAGATCCTACTATTTAGTTTTATATTCCCAGCACAGCAGGGAGCCAACTAATCTGAATCCCTTGTGAACTAAACTTATATTTACTGCAACTTTAGGGACTAGCTGTAGTCATCGGTCACACCACTCGGATTTAAAATATCACGATCTGTGTGCAATTTCAGCATGATTTCTGGTGCGATTTCTGAAGACTTTATTGCTACTCATGAAGATTTTCAATGATTTCTTACAATTTGCAGAGCGATTTCCATTATATTCTATGTATGTGAAATAGCAACAAAACTACAGAAAAAGTAACGCAAGAACTACTTTAGAAATCGCGCTGCAGCAAATCGCACATGTAAAGGCACAGACATTCACATTCATTAGATGCGATTTCAGGTGCGATTTCAATTCGCAAATTGCACCAGTATGACTGGGCACTTAAAGAGTTAAAAAATTAAAACTCCTATTACGGAGTGTGTCATTGGACTTGTAGCTCAGTATAGACGTCTGGTGTGAAATCTGTAATCTTGGTGCCTTCTATAAACAAATGCATTTAGTTTATTATAATGGCAATTTTAGAATGGTTTTGTTAAAAATATGTAATGCAAATAGCCTGGGTAGAAGTCATCATATCAATTGTATCTATTTTTAGTGATAGTAGTTTTCCTATAAGGGTAGGTGTATATGACCTTCTAAGAACTGGCCACTTTGGCTGCTTTTACATTGATGAGCTGCTTTTAGAGCTCATTTACTGCTACCAAAGTGTATACCTGATTTGAAGAGCACACAGGAAAGCATATTTTTCAGTTTGTGAATTCCTTGTGCAGGGGACTTTAAAAATCAAATATTAAAGCAGAGTTTCAGTCTAAAAGAAATTAAATGTCAACAGCTAAATGTCCTAAAGCTAGTGACTTAATAAATGGACATTTACCTGTTCCAGGATCCAGCGCTGTCTTCACCCAGGCTAGTCCTTCACTTGCCAGCTGTGCGGCTTTCGGCTTCACAAAAGACTGTGCTGAGGGAGGGGGATGTAGAACCTCCGCTCAGATCGCCTAAGTGAACTGAGCGGAAGTGGGATCAGGTACCTGTCAAAACTAGGTGCCCGCCACCCCCTCCAAAATGACATGCCACGTTAGGCAGAGGAGGAGGGGGGATGTCTTACAGTGTAACTTCCCCTTTTCCATTGGAGTTGCACTGATCTTAAAAGTAGTTCCTGCACTTCTTTTGGCGATTCTGGGTGCGACTTGAATAGACATCTGTGCATGAAAGCGCACAGATGTCTTACAAGTCACACTGACATGCAACTGTGAAATCGTGCGACTTGAACTGAAGTTGTGCGATTTCAAAGCTATATTCAGTGTCAACCCAGGCTTAATGTAGTTATTCGTAAATGTAGCCACTTTTCTTTTTATTTCCTAACTTGCTGTGAAATACCTAAGGATTCTGTCAGGGGCGGACTGACAACTCATGGGGCCCCCGCCAATAGGGGATCATGGGGCCCCTGTGTCCTTGCCCAAACTCAAAAAAGCCTATGAAAAAGGTACCAGGGGCCCCCTACTGACCCCGGGCCCTCGGGCAGTGCCCGAGTTTCCAAATGGTCAGTTCGCCCCTGGATTCTGTAACTCCAAGCAAGAAGCACTTATGCGCGAACTGACCATGCAGTACACACAGGTGGTAAAGGTACTTATCCACTGTATCGGACTGAAACACATTGCATGCCTACTATGCATGCATGCTCCACATCCCTCACCCACTATATGAAAAAAGGATGTGAAGGCAATTTTATTTTTAGAAAACCTACACTAACCCACCCACCCTAGATCTCCTGAGCAATGGTGGTACCTAGTGTAGCTGACATCTTGGAAAGATCCTTTTGTACCTAGTGTATTATTATTATTATTATTATATAGGATTTATATAGCGCCAACAGTTTGCTCAGCGCCTTACAATATAATGAGAGACAATACAGCAACAATACAGTTCAATACTGTATTAGGAGGGCCCTGCTCCTTGGAGCTTACAATCTAAGAGGGAGTGTAGCTGACATCTGAGAAAGATCCTTTTTTAACACTTCTCCTCTACACATTCCTCTACACATCAAAATTAATTTCTGTAGTAATCATGTAATTAAAAAATACTAATATTGTGCGGAAACAAATGGTGGCAGTAAAGGTGTATTTATTGGATTGTTTTGTATAAAACCATGTTTGTTAGAAAAACAACAGAATACAAGATTGTATTAGTGGTCTTAGCAGTGCACTGTGGCAAAATTTGAGGATAGTAGCAGTGTGTCTTGTGACTAGGTATGAGTTGAACATACCCAGGTTTGGCAAAATGAATGAATTTTTAATATTCAAAGCAACCTCAGCCATCCATTCATGTCTCCATGCTTTATTTTGCTGAGAAATATCTTTGAAAAACACTCCCTAGCATTTCTGGCCATGCCCATCTTGAGTAAGGGTAGATGATTCCTGTATCGTTTAATTACTGGAATTCATCTGCCCTTACATCAGGCATGCAGACAGAAGAGTGCTTAGGTGAGAAAGCCCCTCCCCCCTGAAGTCTCCTGGGATTTATTACATCATTTGCCTAGGCCTGGAAACCAGGAAGCAGCTGAAGAAATGTACAAAAAACTTAAAACAACTAAATATGAAATACTTTCCTTTCTATTTACTAATGCCAGTAGCATAAGGTTTAAAAAATGTTGATTGAGATAGTGAAGTTCCTTTCTCAAAACTTTTTAAAAACAGGACACATAGCATAGGTTGTAATCTTCTTTTCCGCACCACACTGTATTGTGTACAAAGTTTAGCAAAATGTCAACCCGTAGTCATCAAAACACCTTAAAACCACAAACCCACACTCCAGAGGTGATACAGTTGATAAAGTGTTACTAAACCCAGGAACCTGCATTCACTATATCTGGTCTTCAAGTACACACGATATGAAAATGCAATTATTTTCGTAAATATAAACTGCTAAATACCTTTTCTCATCAGCAGTTAGAGCAGTCTTGTAACTTCTATCAGTGTCTAGCAAAGCACTGGTTAAAGCTTGTAGGAGTTTTCTTTCTGCTCTAGGAGGATACAGAACCCCTGACCTCTGTCTGGACAGTGCTGATTGGCACTGTGCTGATCACATGCACTCTCAGCAGAAAAGAGGACACTGGAAGAAGGGGAGGATCAGAGAAGTCAGGATCAAACAGCATTTTTACACAATGCAAGGGATTAACCCCCTTAAGTTCCACAGTGAGTATAACAAGCATACTTTACTGCATATACAGACTTATTTTACTGTTGTGGGTTTAGAAACACTTTAAGGCAAACTAAAAAAATTACAATTCCATGTTTTAGTGACAACAGCCAAACATATGCCAGTTTGTCTGGAGAATATGTAAACAGTTTGATTGGGACACAGAGCAACAATGTAAAATGGATATTTCAAAGACAGCAGCCATAAATATTGTGTAGACTCACTGCACATTATACAAGCATTTGCGCAAGACCACTATGTATGGTGTATATTATTTTGGAAAAAAATTCAATTAATGTGTTCATCAAGAGCCACTAATATTTAATGGACATGCTGAACACCATGTAAGTGTTTTTACTAGACCACAATTGGAGCTGGAGAGACTTGGCAGGTGTTATATGTAAATAAATTAGAATTAAAACTAGCAGAGCCAAAATGGAGAAAGACAGAATTGATTTGTTGGGCAGTATGTACTCCTATTTAGTTAAGATGCTCTATCAGAGAGTATGCAGATACACAAAAAGCAGTGTATTTTTGTAGACTGAAGACAGAAAAATAGAACATGTTTGCAGTAGATTTTGAAAGTATAATAGTCTGTCATTTCAGAGGAAGAGAGCGGGCAGATTTCCTGTCCAAAAAAATAAATATTATTGTTTATTTTTTAGGATTGAGGACCACAATTGTACAGATTTTCAGCACACCTTTAACATGTAACTTATGAGTAAGAGAGAAAGCATATTGCAACCGGAAATAAAAAAATACGTATTTTTGTATGAGAAATAGAAGAAATGTTACAGATTTGCACCACAGTTATTAAGAGCAGGCATTCAGCATCAGGACTTCAAAAATAGTATCTTCATTCAGCAACTGATGGGGCCAACATTTAACAGTTTATCAGCACAAATAGTAAGCCTTTTTTGGATTGAGATGGCATATTTTTTCTGGAAAGAAAAAAATATATTATCTATTTGTTTCACATTTAAAGGAAAAAAGCTGCACAGATATGAAACACACCTTTAAGCCTTTCTTGGACAGGCAACAATTGTTCAGGGAGATCAAGCACATTGCATCTAAAAATAAAAAAAAATGCATTTTTAGGGGCTTAAAGTGAAAAAATGTCACACACTTGCACTACAGATCTTAAACCTGTATGTACAGTGAATTAGTGGTTATTTTGCATCTGGAAATAATACATTTGTGTCTTGATTCAGAGACTGAAGACAGAAACATTTAATAGTTTTGCACCATGGCTGTTAAGCTTTTTTAACAGGCTGCAGTTTTCATAGCCACTGAGCAGGCATATTGCATCTGGATTAAAAAAAATTCTATTTGTTTCAAATTTAAAAGAAAAATGCCAGATTTGCAGAACACCTTAATTAGATAAGCCACAATTTCTGAAAGAGAGAGCAAGAACATTGCATCTGGAGGTACAAATGAATGTCCTGTTGGAGATCTGCACCCCATACATTTGATTTATATGTGTGGGCTGCAATCTCTGAGTGATTGAGCTTGCATATTAGTTGGTTCTTTTTGGGCTTAATGGAATATATAAACATTGGACAGAATTGCACTACACTTTTCAAACCTTCACTGGAATAGGCCACAATTTCTGTGGAGAGTAAGATTACTTCCACATGCAAACATTGGCCTTCTTTTTCACGCCCTGAAGAAAGAATAATTTGACAGATTTGTAAAAAAATGGAAATGTAAAGTCAGTGCTAGAGCATGCAACGGAAACAGGAATACAGCCAGAAGAACAAAGATAGATGTACAAACCCTAAATCAATCAAGCGTAAAACATTTTACAGCGCCTATATTGTGAAGTCTCAATCAAAACAATTGTATGACATATAAAAAACTAATGATAACAAAACGTATACATTTTGCTCAACTCCAGCATAGGGTTGGAGGACTGACCCAATTGCTATGAGCGGACGGTATGGTGAAGGACTCCACGTAGTCAGTTATCCTGTAAGTCTCAGTCCAAGCAGCTGGCCTAGAATTTGTTATTTTCTGTTGACCAAACAAGGTCTTACCCAAATATAAGCTTATGCATAAAATGTGTGTGAAGGTCAAATAACTGCAACATGTATCAGGCTTTACTTCCTATAGTTATATTTGGTTGAATAATTCATATCCTCAATTAGCTAAACTGTAGCATGCTACAAAATGGCAAGCCTTTGGGATTACTCATTTATCACATATTTTCAGGAGGGGTTCTCTTGTCCCATTTTCAACTCTGCCATTTATGTTTGGCTGGATTCTGGCTTGCCAGATTCTATGCATTTTTATTACTTGCAACTTAAATATACAGTAGCACTACAAGAAACCCCCAGGTGCCTGGGACTTCTCTCCCCCTCCTATCTTTAATCTTGTGCAAAACACCTCCAAGGGCTTCAACTCTGGTTGTTGTGCCATGTTCTAGAATGTATACTTAGATGATTACCTATGATCTTTTTCTAGGGTGCATACATATGTTCTCCATTTCTCCAGTGCCTTGCATGGGTAATCATCTAAGTATACATTCAAGAGCATGGCATAACAACCAGAGATGAAGCCCTTGGTAGAGGAGGTGTTTTGCATAATATTAAAGGAAAACCTACAATTAGTTCCTCATCCTATTTGTTGTAAATGTAGTAGACACCATGGAAATGTAATCATTATGCTCTGAAGATGCCCCAAGCCTCACAGGTACTGGGCCCAAGTTGTTCATGATCAACAGAGCCTTCCAAACAACTGTTCAATTAGATTCTAAACACTGTATTTTAGGCATTTTGGAAGACATTTTCTCATCATATTACACCAGAGAAGCGGTGGCTAGAGCTCTGTTTCAAGCCTACAAACTCATTTTACAACACTGGAAATCTGATAAACCCTCATTTTTTAAAGAGTCGATACACCATATGGGGGAAATTTTGTGTTTTGAGCTCATTAAAAATTTGCATTGTGGATACCCTGCCAAATTTGAAAAAGAGTGTGTGTGTGTGTGGGGGAGGGGGGTGGGGGCGGGGGGGGGGGGGGGAATGGTTGGGCACCCCTGGGCTTTCCCCTGTTGACCTGATATTACACAGACTCCTATGATGTGCTGAATACTACAGTATGTTCTTTCTTGTGCATGTATTACTGGTTCATGCTTTGACCGTTTATTGTACTATGTATCTTAACAGTGTATGTTTCTTGCTTGACACCCAGTGTGATATGCTGCGTTATTACTCTAGGTGAATTGTTTTGTTTCTTTCTATACTCTGAAATTGACTTTATTTCAATAAACTTTCTTTGTTGAAAAAAAAAAAATTTTTTTTTGGACAAACTGCACTTTGATGAATTTTAATGCACAAAACACAATATGTTACCCAATTGTTTGGGAAAATATAAAAGCTGATGTTATGCTGAGTAAATAGATATCTAACATGTCATTGTGCACGCTCATGGAATGGCAACAAACTACAAATCTCCATAGGCAATGCTTTAAAAGCCTTTATAGGTTACCAGTTTAGAGTTACACAGGAGATCTCGTGCTAGAATTATTGCTCTCGCTATATCATTCATGCAGATACCTCACAGGTGTGGTGCGAACGCATATTAGCTCGCCTTTTGCGTGCGACCAAGAGGGGATGAGGGTCCTATAATTTTGTTTTTAACTGTTATTATTTATTTAATTTAATTTTTTTTTTAATTTTTAGACTGTATCTTTACATATTGTTATAACTTTTATTGCCATCACAATTGATGAACAACATCCCCAGCATGGGATAGCATGGGCAGTGGCAGGTTCTTTTTATTGAGACATGTGGGGTCTATTAGACCTCAGATGTCTCCTCTGCCCTTAAAATTATCTGATCAAACCAATATAGGTTTGATCAGATGCCTTCTCAGGCCGATAATTGCCTGTTTACATTAGACTAAAACCAGAAGTGACAAAATACTTGTTTCTTCTGGTTTCTTAGACCATAGAGATGATCGGGGATGTTCTGGTCCTTGATCATCTTTATGGTAAAGGTGACGAAAGGCGGGGGGAGGGGAGTGACCCCTGTCGACAGTATGTAAAAGCAACCCAGCTGCTATTTAGCCACTCTGTTTACTTTATTCAGCACCACTGGCTGAATAGATTGGTAACGGGGTCATGACTGCAGCTACAGCCATGGTCCCAGTATAACCAAGGATGTACAGATGCATCCATTTAGGGAAAGTGGTTAAGCTACAGGTCAGTTTGGATACTTCCCAAAATCTTCTTCATCACTGTAGAGGGATGACTTTTGAGCTTCTCCAGATTTCAATAATAGCCCCATGAAGGCTCACTATGCAAGCACAGCCAGCTGTAGTTTAGCTCATAAGGGCTAGGGAGGGTGGGTTAATAGAAAAAAAAAGTAAACTTACACTTTAACCCCATCCTGCCTACCTCTGGTGCCCCTTTAAGGAAGTCTTTACATTGGGAAGAAGGACAGGCTTCCCAAGCATGTGGCCACCATGATAACCTGTCTTGACTAGAGAACAAAAGCTGCCTATGACAGCTCAGTCATTGTGTTGGGAGTGTGCAGTAAGCTTGCTCTAAGCACAGAAACCTCAGCAGTCCATGGATGCATATGTGTGGTGAATTTATTATTTTATTATTACAGGTACTTATGTAGTGCTGTCAATTTACACAGCGCTTTACATATATATTGTACACTCACATCAGTCCCTAACCCTTAAGGGGTGTACAATCTAAAGTCCCTAACTTATATTCATACATACACATACTAGGGCCAACTTAGACAGGAGCCAATTACCTTACCAGCATGTTTTTGGATTGTGGGAGGAAACTGGAGTACCCGGAGGAAACTGATGCAGGCACAGGGAGAACATGCA